GATAGAGGTTTGTGTGCCTGTGTCTCTGTGTGTGGAGACCTAGGATTTTCTAATGAAAATATTGAGTTCTACTTAGTAATTCCTGGTTATTGGGTAGTTGGAGGGGAGGTAGGTAATTATCTAAGACAGAAAGAAAAATGTTTAAAATTGTTTAATAATGCTAGTTACTTACAAACAGTCCCATGCTATTTGAATTAGCCTTTTGTTGTAATGACAAGGCATAAATCCACTAAATACAACTCTTGAGTTGTTTTCTCCCAATGTTCATCTTTGAACCACCAGAGGGAAGGGGTGGGATCATTGGGACAGTCAGCATTCTGAGTCATGGGCTTGCTGTGTTATCCTGTTGTCACTAGTAAAACTAAGACAGAGATGGTTCTTTGTAGGCCTTCATCAAGAACTTGAATTTTTTCATTAACTTCGAAACACCTGCTGGTTGGGATGGGCATCATTCATAAAACCTTCATGTTCTCCTGTTACCCATCTGGACAGGGACTGGAAGGGAGGGATGGCCATCACTTCAGTGAAGATAACCAAGGACAGTTGGAGATGAGTGAGAGGGCCACTGAGGACAGTTGGAGATGAGTGAGAGGGCCACTGAGGACAGCTGAAGATGAGGGGGCCACTGAGGACAGTTGAAGATGTGGGGACCACTGAGGACAGTTGGAGATGAGTGAGAGGGTGCCACTAAAGACAGTTGGAGATGAGTAAGAGGGCCACTGAGGACAGTTGGAGATGCAGGGACCACTGAGGACAGTTGGAGATGCGGGGACCACTGAGGACAGTTGGAAATGAGTGAGAGGGCCACTGAGGACAGTTAGAGATGAAGGGACCACTGAGGACAGTTGGAGATGAGGGGGCCACTGAGGACAGTTGGAGATGAGGGGACCACTGAGGACAGTTGGAAATGAGTGAGAGGGCCACTGAGGACAGTTGGAGATGCAGGGACCACTGAGGACAGTTGGAGATGAGGGGAACACTGAGGACAGTTTGAGGACAGTTGGAGATGAGAGGGCCACTGAGGACAGTTTGAGGACAGTTGGAGATGAGGGGGCCATCAAGGACAGTGCGCATAGCTTCTGCTTTTCCATTCAGGGCCTCTGCTTTTCCTGGGAGGGAGATTGTGTATAAAACAAAGACATTTTTTCCAGGCTATTTAATCCTTTCATTATGCCCCAGGGTAATGAGAGATTTTTTTTTTCTTCTTCCCAGCCCTTTCATCCTTCTTACTCATTTTAATTCCTTTGCCTATTTTTAAAAGCCTTCTTCTTCTAGTGAGTGCAATCATGGATATTTTATTTCTTTCACAGGTTGCCTAGGAAGGGTGTTCTAAGTGACCATCGAGCACACGCACATCTTGTAGATTAACTGGTTCTTTTTTGTCAGTAGTCAGTTAATTGGTGATGGCCTGTTAGGTAGGAGGGCAAGTTCTGGTCCCGATGTTTCTTTGTTCTTATTGTTCCGGAATGGCTGTTTAAGTTTATTCGTTTATAATGTGATTTATGTTGAACTTTACATCTTGGGATACAGTTGTGTTGGGGTGTCTGAAGATCCTTACATGCCCTGCTGTACCCAGGATCTGGCATCTAGTCATAACGTCTCTAAATCTCCCCAGCAGAGGCCCAGCCGGTGCTGCAGAAGCCCCATAGGCAGGGAAGAACTGCGCTGGGTTCTGTTTCTACTTCCTTCGGGGCACATTTAAGCAAATTACCGTGGTCAGGTGAGAAGTCCCTACAGTGAATTGAGTTTATATTCTCTACTTTGAGTAATTATTTGATATGGCTTCATGCTGTTTGATTATGTTGGTACATGCACATTTAGCACAAAACACCACCAGGGAATGGTTTCAGGCATTAGTGAATTATTTGGGGGCAAACACTCCTCTAATTACTTTTCTACTTGGAAGCTTATGACTTACATGAAAAGTCATAAAGCACCTGAAATAGGCTCTGGGGTAATAGAGTAAGCATTGTAAGTAGTAAAACCTTCAACTGCTTTGTAATAAAAGCTTCCTCATTTTGTGAGAGAGTTGCTTAGTGAATTCTTGGATTTCATATAAAGTCCGGCATTTTCCAAACACTAAAAAGTTTTACATTCCCCTCCCCCCGAAAAATTACAGAGCCTAAGCGTGAACTCCAGTAACCAAAGCTCTGTCTGGGTTCAGACTCCTGTCAGTATGGAATGAGCCTCACTTTCTCATCTATAGAGTGGAGATAACAGGGTCAGCCTCAGGGGAGGCACTCAGGGCCGAATATGCTCACAGACAGGAAGGAAGTTGAGATTCTGCCTCTACTTCCCTTTTGTACCTTTCCTTTTAAACATTGAGTCATGCTTGAATATGGTTATCCTTACTGACCACATCAGTACATTTGTGGGTCAAGAAGTACATTCCGTCAACATTCTTTGTCACATTGCTGGTCTTTAAGTCACTGATGGTGACTGCGGTGAATTCCACAGCCATTGCCGTTTCTATATTCTCCATTGTCAGAACATTTTCAAAGGAGCCAAATGCCAGGCTAAGGAGTGTGTTGCAGGTGCACAGCAAGGCCAGTGTGCCACATGCTTTCTGAAGGTATTATTTCATGTCTTGAAGCATGAGAAGCGATTGTGTAAGTTCTGCAGAGCACATTTGTATCCATGACATGACTAAGGTGCTACTGTTACTGTTAGGTGAGGAGCCCCAGGCTTGGGAGGTGTCCAGCGATTATGGGGTGTGGCAGGGCTTTTAGGGATCTGAAAAAGCCTGGAGTTTTTAGTTACTCTGCCTCCCTCACCCTCAATTTCTCAGTCATCAACAACTTGTCGTGTGTGTGTGTGTGTGTGTGTGTGTGTGTGTGTGTGTGTGTGTGTGTGTGCTCGCGCTCGCGCACTGCGGTGCCTGTGTAGAGATCAGAAGATGTGGGGTGTTGGTCCTCTCCTTTGTTTGAGGCAGAGTATCATAGTCATTGGTGCAACACCGGGCAGCTGACTCATGACATTTGGGGATTGCCCTCACTCCTTCCATCTCACCGGAGATGGGGGCGCACAGACACGCACTGCCACGTCTTGGCTTTACTTGGATTCCGGGTATCGGAACTCTGGTCCACATACATGCTTGGTGAGTGCTCTATCCACTGAGTCATTCCCCAGCTGTCAACTTCTCCTCTCACCTGGAAAGACGCTTGTGTTGGTTTGTGTGGTGCAGTCACTGACATGGGTGATTTGTAAGCCAAGAGGAAGAAAGCCTTTGTGTTTGCTGATTCCTAGATTGTTCCTGGTGCTCAGTGGGTGGTGATTCCACTGAAGGAATTTGTGTTTGAATGGACAAAGCAGAATGTAGCCCTTGTTTGTATTTCTCATGTAGTCAGTTACTTTCTTCTTGGCGTGGGGATTTCCTTTGAGGATTAGCTTTTCTGTGAAGAATCTGCCCCTGGCTTCTTTGTTCCCAGAATTGTACAGTACTATAAGATCTTTTAGGAGCTTGACCACTTGATAAGTAAAACCATACTGTATTTTTTACATATTTACGTTTCTGCACTCATATATCTATGTTAATTGTTTGAAATTTCATTTCTTTAGAGATGATGACTATTACACACTGCTTTTACTCCTGAGTTGTGTTTTCCACTTTTTATCCTCCTCATCCCCCCCTCTTTTTCCTCCTAACTGTCAAATCTTCAGTATGGGGACATTGTATTCTTCCAAGTCCTATGACTGCTGGAGATGAATATCTGTAATACCTCATTTCTAATATTTTTGTGCTTAAATGTTTTTGTTCTCTTTCCATTTGGCTAAGTATGGGTCTTGTGTCCTAATTTTTTGTGCGTATAAAAAAAATGTATTTAGAACACTCTAGATCTCCCTTTCACCATGGCTACAATGTTAACTTCTTTCCACCCTGCATCCTCAAATGCTCTTATAGATGCCACAAATACAAATGAGAAACTTCAGTAAACATTCCTTGGGAGCCTTCATGGTGCTTTCTGTTTAACCTCACACCCTTGGTAGAGAGAACCGAGGGTTTAGAATGTCATCGCTACAGTGTTTATAAATGTTTTATACATTTATAAGGATACATTTTAAAATTAATTTTTCCAGCAGAGCTTGGACACTCTTTTGTGTCTCTGGTGAGGGGTTATCAGATTCTAGGCAGGAGGAGACTGCTGTCTATAGTTCTGTCTTTTGCGGTTTCTTTGTTAGTTTTTCATTTCTGGGAAAAAGCGTGAAAACTTGATGATGCCTTAAGTTTAAGAGATGAAAAAGTAGCTGGAGTCAGTGAATGTATAGTGTCAAATAACACAAAATCCTAAAACTTTGATCTGGAAAACCCACTTTGATTCTTCCAAAAGGTGAAGGACATGTGTGAGCCTCAAAGCTGCACCTTGTCAGATAGTCTGATTCAAATATCTCCCCAGATACCCCTGCCTCTGTGCTTAGCTATACAGTGATGCCTGCTAAGACAAGACAATATCCAAGAAGCTCTTCCACACAGGACCTGGCAGCTTATTTTTTAGCCTTGTAATTATTATGTGGAATCTGAATGGATGCATTTCAGTGCTTACATTTGTGACATTCAATTTTTAGGACTTTAATATGACCATTGGAAACTTAAGAGGATACTTGTTTGTTTGTTTCTTTCTTTCTTTGTTTTTCGAGACAGGGTTTCTCTGTGTAGCTTTGGAGCCTATCCTGGCACTCGATCTGGAGACCAGGCTGGCCTGGAACTCACAGAGATATGCCTGCCTCTGCCTCCCGAGTGCTGGGATTAAAAGCATGCGCCACCAATGCCCAGCAAGAGGATACTTTATCGTGAATGGATTTGTTGGAAGTAACTGCTTAAGGTGGTGGTTTTAGTTGACTTGTGCTTCTTTTTCAAAGTAGAACTTATAAAATATAACTTCTTTTATTGTTTTATTTTACTAATATAAAATTAATGAAAGGGGAAGCAGGTATGATACATTTGAAGGCAAAATGAGTTCTGTGCCATTTAATTTTCTTTTTTTTTTTTATTTTCCTTTTAGATCTTTTAGAGAAATCTCGAGTTGTTAAGCAGCCCAGAGGTGAAAGAAACTTCCACGTGTTCTATCAGCTGCTCTCCGGAGCCTCTGAGGAGCTGCTCCGTAAGTCTGAGTTGCTCTTTGCTCTTTACTGTCACAGCATTTTCTGAAGCATCTGCTCTACAACACAGGTTCCGCTATGTTTCCCCTGTTTTCATTTTGTCTTGTGCTGTTTGCTTCTGCCACACCCCAGCATTTCTTTTGTATTTCTCTATCTCACCAGCGACCAAGTCATATGCCTAGGTGTGTTGGTGGAGCCTTACAGTGGGGGAAGGGCCTCTCTCAAAATTAAAATCAGAACAGAGGACTATATAGTACCCAAGAGAAGAAAATTGGCAATGTGTAGTAAAGGTCTATAGCTATATGCAAATTTTCTGAGTGAGGGTTTAAAAACCATGGGGAAATGGGATGGACAAGATGGCTCAGTGGGAAAAGGCAATTGACTTATTCAATAGCTATTTGTTACATCATTGAACAGTTCAAACAAGAACAACTTTGGAAAGTCAGTCACACGCAGGGAGACACAATCTTATCTTATTTTCCTGACTAAATACTTAGGGAGAGCAGGAAGGTTGCTTTGGCTCAGGGTTCGAGGGACACAGGGATGAGTCTGGTAGCAGCAGTGTTTGCACTTGTGGCTACTCACGTCTGGGCAGAGCGGCAGCACAGTGAGGTGAACACTGGTCTTGAGGTGTCACCCACATGTCCAGTGTGTCTTCTCTTTGTGAAACTCTCTCAAAACATCTAGAGGTGTCTTAGGTGATCTAAATTCATTTGACAGTGAAAATTACCTTCATCACCATGTTCTCTGGTAATCAACCAACGCACACGAAAACATGCTGAATTACCCACTAGGCATGTATTAGCAAAAGTGTGAGAAGGAAAAGCTGGGAAAATTGTTCTGATATCCAGACTTGCAATCTACTGAGCTAATGAATGCCTGTGAGTGTCAGTAGCAATCTTCCAGAAAGTCACAAGATGATCAGAGTCTGCACCCTGTCTTACTGCCTTTTGGGATATAGCACAATAATTCATATGAGTCCAAAGCCAATTTATAAGAAGGACATTTCCACTCCCTGTGTGTAGCCACCCTACATTACAATATTTCCCAGTAATAATAAATGCACGATAGTTACAAAAGTGGGTCTAGGAGAACACTATTATTGATCTGTATGCATCAGTTCTTACTGTTGATTTGATACATAATACAAAAGTCATTTTATCTGAAAGGTAAAAAGTGAAATCGGGAAGACGAATCCATTTGTTGAAATACCTTATTAATTTATATACATGACCTGACAGACAAGCTTAAGCTTGAGCGGGACTTCAGCAGATACAACTATCTGAGTCTGGACTCTGCCAAAGTGAATGGTGTGGATGATGCTGCCAACTTCAGAACTGTCAGGGTAAGAAGCGCCTCCCTTACACTTCAGAATGGGTAACCCCAAACTGCTTAGCCACACTGCTTGCAATTCATTTTTCTCTACGTTAGAATTCACGCTCCCAGCCGGGCGGTGGTGGCGCACGCCTTTAATCCCAGCACTCGGAAGGCAGAGGCAGGTGGATCTCTGTGAGTTCGAGACCAGCCTGGTCTACAAGAGCTAGTTCCAGGAGAGCCTCCAAAGCCACAGAGAAACCCTGTCTCGGAAAAAAAAAAAAAAAAAGAATTCACGCTCCCCCAGGTTACACGCACCCAGGACTCCCTTATGTTTTTACTAATTCAGCTTTACACACAAGGTTTTGAAGGCCATGATTGCTAGAGCATGCTGTTTGACCATTTGTAAAAAGGCGCCTTCATCTATTGTTCTGGGATTTGACTCTGTGTGTGTGTGTGTGTTGAAATCCCAAGTATTTTTATAGCCAAAGTTAATTTCCAAATATGAAAACTGCCCTTGGGTCCTGTTAAGTCAAGAGTGTTTTTAGTCAGAAAACCCTGCTTTTTAAGCAGATTTAGAAAATGATGTACACATCAGAGGGATCGGAGTCCCTCGTTAATTAGCACAGAAGCCCACTTTTACATAATTCTCTGTCTTTATGTGGCATGCACTTTCAGAATTACTCCCATTAAGACATTATGGTAACTGTGATTTCCTTCCAAATGAGACAGCTGGGGCTGGGGGAGGAGCAGGGGACATCATGTTAGAGATGAAGCAAGATTGGCACCTGTTAATTGTTGAGGCTGAATGAAGAGGATGTGGGGTCCTTTGCTTGTTCTTGCTCCCCGTGTGTACGTTTGAAATTTCCCTGACAAAAAGTGTACATTACTTTCACTGCTGTGTAAACTAGTCACACACACACACACACACACACACACA